TTATAGTAGGTTGGAAATGTAATAGAGGAAGGTGGTAATATTGAAGAAATTTGTTATAGCAGGTGTCCAAATCATAGGAATTTAATGATATTGATAATGATTTGGGTTGTGTATCTTCTGTAGGGTCGCTCGCCATTTTAAGCTCGGTTCTCACAGCTGCGAAGAGTGCCATAGCCTGCCCTGTACGTTGGGTCTGGCCATCATTATCTTGGTTCTCTGCGTAAATGGACTTACCCACCCGTTCACTTACATCATTCTCTTCTAAGAATGGTCTACTGAATGTAGAGGACATCATTATCTTAGAAGCAGTGGCTGCTTTGCTGAATTGATGCAAATAATTCCAAAGATTTGTTATTATAATAAAACTTTACAGGATTAAAAATTAAATGTCAATAAAGAAAAATCAGTTAGACAAGATAATTTAATTTTCAACAGTATACTATGAAAAACATGAATATTATACAATAGCATATGTGAGATATATTATATTCTTTCACTATTGTTTATATTAAATTATTAAATATACTGCTTATTTTATATATATATATTTTTTAATAGGTTATCTTTTTGATTATAATGAAGAACAATTAGATAAATTAATTTTAGAAAAACTAAAATTATGGCCTACTAACAAGCAAATTATACAAACCATTTATCATTTGTATCATTTAGCATGTGAACTTTCAGAATCTCTTGGTATGATTCAACCTGCAGATTTGTCTATTAATGGAATAATTTACTTACTGTTATTTTATATGAAGATGAAGTTTCAACATCATATATATATAATGATACAAACTTAGCAGATATTTAAGAAATTGATGATATTTCTTCTGCAATAAGCAATGCATCGAAAGAAGTAAATCAATTTAGTAATGATTTATATAATGATAATTTTTCATCTAACAATATATTTTAAAATAGTCAAAAGCAGTTTAAAATTATTAATCAATCTTTGGAATCAAGTTTTTATCAATCTTAAATAATAGTGATAGTGGTAAGTATTTATTATAATTTTTTATTGCTATCATAAAAGCTCGAAATAATGCTCATGTGCTTTTCTTAATCACATGCATTTATGAAATATTAACTATATCAGATTTAAAAAATCAACTATTATTTCGAAATAACACATATAGATGTATCCAAAATAACATATAGGTCAATTAATTAATATGCAGATAGGCATTATTTTATGCTTATACAGTATTTGAGTACTTTAGAATTTTTAATAAATTTTATAGAAAAATAAAGCTTCGGGCTTTTGATTATTTATCAAATTTAGCCTATAAAAAAATTGTAAATATATATCATATATATTACTATGAGATTTTTTTGTAGTCTAAATTTGATAAACAATTATTGATAAAATTAAAAGCCCAAAGTCTCATTTTCTCGATTTTATTATAACATTTACTAACTAGATTGCTATATTTTATAATAACAGTCAGGATGTAATTTTAAATTACAATTTGAATTATATTTAATTTAGATTGCAATTTGAAATTACATCTTTGATTATTATTTTATAAAAATATAAATTAATAGTTAATCTAGATTATTAATATTTTTTAGAAAATACTTTGAATTTTGAGTTTTTACTTAATCAATTAAATTGTATGATGTATATTGTTCTAAATTACTTAAACAAAAGGTTAAATTGAAGGCACCAAGCACTATTAAAGTTAATATAATAAGCTCTGTTCTTCCAAATAAGGCTAGTTATTTAATTGCATATTTCACAAAAAAATAAAAATCCTGAATAACAATTCATTAAACAAAGAGAAAAATGTTAAAAGAAAAATCAGAGAAATATGTTAATGACACTTGCACAATTATATTCTGAAGAAATTGAAAAATCAAAAAAAAAGAAAACTTCAAACAAAAAAAATATTTAATTAAATTTAATTTTAAGTATGTATTTAGATTATGCATTTTTAAAATTTTAAACTTAGATTTTATTAAGGTTTAATATTACTAAACTTTATTTTTAATTTTAAAATAATCATCTAATAGTTCTTAATATCCAAAATGCAAACATATCAGATAATTTTCTACTATTGAAAAGTGATTATGTTTTTGTTCTATGATAAAACTGTATGTATTAAAAAAGTTATAGCATTATATTTTGAAAATTATATTAATTACTGTTATATAAATGAACCTGTTACAAATTTGAATAATATTTCTTATATTTCATTACAAATTTACTTACCTATTTATTTAAATTTGTTTAGTAATATTTTAAAAGAAGGTTGTAGTCTTTTAACACATCATTTAGCTTCTAATATTATATATTATATTAATAAGTTAGGAGTATTAATTGATAAAAATGTTTTGAAGTTGCTAGAAAATAAAAAAAATATTTGGATTATTTTATTCAGGAAGATGTTGTTTAAAAAATAATTTTTTAATAAAAATTATTTTTTAGTGAAGTTTAAAATAGTTATTAATAAAAATAATGGTTAATATACATGTACCTGAAGGTACATATATCTGCATTATATAACATAATATATAATAACATATATAACTTAATATAATATATATATTATATTTATTGTACTGTAATTAAAATCCTTTATTTTAGGTTGTCAACCCTCTAAGTGGTAGGTTGGGTGTTCAAATCCTATCGATGGTGAAAATTTGGATAATCATCTATGTAATATTTACATTATAGCAACTGTTACTAATAATTGGGTTAGGATACCTGTAATGGCAGTCACACCAGCATGACTGGCAAGTTATGGGGCATCTGTGCAATATTGGAGTTATATAGAGGAATGCAAACCAACATATCGGGTGGCGCAAACACTAGATAAGTCCTTGTAGCCATGTAATCTGTTGAAATTAAGTAACAAGAAATCCATTTGAAAAGATCTGAGTAGAGAAATAGCTAGATCTTCGATGGCCCTACTGTAAAGGCTAGCCCAAGAAAACAGATATCAAGGTCTAGTACCTGGTCCTAGTAGTCAGACAGGCAAGAACCTCTGAATTAGAAGTCTTGGAGGTACCACCAATTAGGCCACTAGAATGAACTAAAGGAAAAGGATATCAGGCTAATTTGATATACCGATGAACTGGTTATAGTCCTATACAGGCTATCTAGATTGGGAGTTTGGTAAAAGGGTAAGGAAAAAGGCAAGAGTATACTAAAGTACCAGGGTTATACTGTGAAGTAGATGCTAAGGTCTAAGTAAACTCTACAAGGGCATAGTGATTTAATAGTTAGTCCTAACTGCAAGTGTTAGTTCTGCTATAGTGATACCTAGGTTAGCTATAAAAATGGGTACAGAAGGCTTTGGAGGGTTTACCTTAAGGATAAATTAGTCCTAAGGTTGAGGATGATAATCTGGTACATGTTGAGGATGATAATTTAGTACATCTGAGATGACCAGTGATGTTAACACAGATTACAGGTTCAGAAAGTTTAAAGTAGAACATCCAAGCAGGGGTGTTAGGTATGGCAATTAGTGAGGAACCTTTAAGCGAACTCCTTAAATAGATAATATAAAAAAGTTATATGTGTAGCCAATTGTATGCTTTCTTGTAATAGTTCATTAAACCACAATACCAATAAGTGATTAATAAAAGTCAAAAGACCAAAGAGATCATCTTAATACCAAAAAAAAAAAATTCTTTATTTTTATTAATGTATATACAATATATTTACTAATTTAAGCACTAATAATATCTTAACCATCCCTAACTCTAAAGTTGTTTTAACATTTCTAACTTCAAAATCTGGTTTATCTATTTCTAATTCTAATGTCCATTTAATCCATTTCTAACTTTTCCTGAACCTAATTCATTTCACCTATTTCTAACTCTAAACCCAATCTCTGAAACCATAATTAAGTCCTAATTAACAACTAGTCTTGAGTGTTGCATCTGCTAATGCTTTTCACAAAACCTAGGCCAAGCATACAAATGAGAGTTATATTATTCAAAAGTATACTCATATTTTGCATTTATAATAGGCAACCTAGATGCTTGAAAAAACTGAGTTTAATTAGACATGAAATTCATCTATTAGTTGAAATAAACAAATTTTCATCTGACAGATATCAGATAAAATTTAGTTAGCCAATAACAACTTGCAAAACATAGCCAAAAAAAACTGCATTACAAATAACAAGCCTAAACAAGCTTATTCATATTTTTTTCCAAGGTTGCTAACACTTTTCCTTCTTTTTATTCACCTGAAATCTCTGTTGCGATGATTCCAAGACTATAAATATCTGATGCTTGAGTGTACAGTAACCCATCAAAATCTTAGGTGCTACATATAGCAGAATCCCAGAAGCTTTTTTTCTATTCATTTTTTTAGAAAATCCAAGATCAGTGATATATGCATTTTGCAAATTACATTGAATATTTCTGCTGTATAAATCTCTGTGAATGAGTTTCTGTAAATGAATTAACTCAAAACCAAAGCTATACTATACAAAATATTTAATTTATCTTTTTACTTTAGTCATAATACTTGTACAAGATTTGTCATAATGAATTTTCTGATGCAATTGCAAAACAATAATATAATCACTATGATACTTCATAAAAGTTCAATAACGAAGGATTCTCATGACCAATTTGTAATACTTCAATTCTTGGATAAGTTCTTGTACATTTTTGTTTGAATTACAAATCAGTTTAAGTACAACATTCCATGATGAACTGTTAATTCTGTCTAGCCAATTGGCCAATAAACAGTTATGAATTCTCTAAGTTTGTTACTATTAAGGTGCAAAAATTCAATTGGTGTTCTTACAATGTGCCTCTTCTCTTCTAATCCAAGATTATTTATTGAAAATCAGTATAATGTTCTTGTAAGCCTATCAGTAGCTCATCTATTAAACAACATCAAAATGACAGCACTTAAAATAACAGAAATTATATATACGAATTTGACAACATGAAACATCCAAGCAATGAAATCCATAGCCACAAGAACATCAGAAAGACATCAGAAAACAACTAGCAAAATTCTAGTAAAATAATAATGCAAAATCATCAAAGTGATGAAATCCAAATGCCAAATGACATCTAAAGTCCAGTAATGCAATGCCATGAAACTATGAAATCTATTATTGTTTATATATCCAGTGATTGTTAGGTTACATAGAAATGCAAATATACAAAAAATTTTTATACTCTCTGATATTTTTTATAAGTTAGATAATTTATTTGCTTATTTTTAATAAAATTTTAAAGTTATATACTAATAATGCTTATTAATATTAGTAAAAATTCATGCTTAGAGGTATTATAAAAAAATTTTGACTTCTTGTAACTTATATACTAATAGCTCAAGGTCCTGTACTGCTCTACAAAATCCAGCTTCTTCTTAGATTGCTCTTTTTCTGCTTTTTTTAATATTTCTCTTGTTATTTGCAGAAGTGCAACTTTATTTGGATCTTGTCTTGTAAGTGCTGCAACAATATTATCTTCTCTACTAAATATTGCATATGTCTTACTTGCTTTATTGAAGAAGATTTTATTATGCACACTATTTATCATCTTATATGCTCTTCTTGTAAAGATTGCATTGAGGCTTCCTCTATATTCTTCTGGCAAACTTTTGTTCATGTTGCATAATCATTTTCTATATGCTCTATATTATATGTTGTATCTAGATTAAACTAGTTTGATGTATATGTTTGTTTGTTTATTTTACTTATTCTATTGCAACTTCGTGTGTAACCTATAATACAGAGTTCTGGCAATTCACTAATTTTTCTGAATAATTTTCTATATTTCATTAAAAAAATTCTTTATATGCTGTTTTCTACTGTCTTTACAGTTCTTTTTCTC